TCCATTTGCCCACCTACTGAGTAGTGCTATGCATCTAAGAGGCTGCTTCAGTGGAGGCCAGTGGTACTTCTCTACCTTCCTGTGCAAGGCCTGCAGCAGCAGCAGCAAGAACGAAGAACGGACCCGACTCCCCAGACCACAGGTCATCTGGAGAAGCTCCGTTTTAAGATCCCGCCTGTGCCACGGCAGGATCGAACTTCCTGTGCAAAGCTTGACCAAGAACTTGACAAGTTGATTCGCTCCGTGGCTTCGGCGGAGGGACTTGGAGATGACAGACTTCCCAAAACATCAGATAAAACATCATAAAACTTTAACATCTTTAACATTCAACCATCCCGTAAGATATCCCAGAAAGCATCCCGGGTAAACATGTTGACCATCCCAAGGCATCCCAAAACTCCCCCCCCTTGCTTTCGGCCTCGGGAGCGCCCTCAGGGCGGCCGCAAGGCTCGGCGCCATGGTGACCAGTGCCGCCAGGCGCTCAGGCGAGGCCTTTCCGGAAACCCAGGGTTTGTACCTCTTTGTTGGGTTTGGCATGGCTGAAGTACGTGTTCATGCTTTAAGAGAGCATAGGGGTGTAGGGTTCAGGGTTCAGCATGCTACTTTCCACGACAACTCAAATGCTCAGAATGGAAAGACAGACGTGGGTTGCTGCGCAGAGTCTACGGTGCCCCCTTGACCACGATCAAAGAGGACGCTGCTCTACAAGCCTCATGTCAGAACCACCACAAGACAAAGAGATGTGTGGCCGTGCTGATAGGAAGCTGCATCGGGATCCATCCGTAGGTGGCCCCTTTCATCCCTTGATTGCTATGATTTTGCAACTTCCCCGAATCGTCCGCTCGTGCCGTGCTTCTCGATTTTATGAAAGCGAGTGCTGGTGCAGTCTTCTGTATTGGGGCGTCCAAGCCAAGGCGAAAGGCGAAACGAGAGACGCCTTGGACACCAGCAACAGTCTCATCAGTTCTGCTTCGCCCGCCTCCAACCCTGAGAACGAGCGAGCCACTTCGCTGTCAAAGCGCTCGTCGCAAATCTTCCGCCTAGTCCGTTCCATTCAACAGATCACCATGCTTAGCCCATGACTATATATGATACCTCTTGACTAACCTTGACCGTATTCATCGGCTGCGACATCAAAGACGGCGGTGCCCATGACCTGGCCTTGCACAGGCGACCTCTGTGCAGGGCCCGGCGAGGATCCCGAGCGCCTGGAGATCAAGGAGGCACGGCACAGGTCAAGGAGTTTGCTTGGTGTGTGACGACCCTTCGCCGAAGCTGCAGCCGAACCTGCTCCCAAGCCGATCGCAGCTTCGTACTTCGCTGCGCTGCCAGTTGCGAGTGCCGCTCGACGCTTTGCGCCGCACGCGCAAACTCGGACTCCCTGACCAGGCAGGTGGGAGCTACCAGCTACCTTTCTCCGTCCTGGAATTCCCCGGCCATCCCCACCCAATACCGCCCTCCCGTCGCCTCAGAGCCTGCGTAACGACGCGCCGGAGACCACGGCCATCTGCGACCAGCAAGGAGCCATCGCCTAACCAGCACATCTCACAAGCCACGCATATCCACACGTCACACATCGCTTCAACACCTCACACAACACGACACGGGCTCCTGCAAGAAGCAGGGCACCACAGAGCTCGGCAAAGCCCCCGCTGAGCCCGGCACCGAGCACGCACTGCTTCCCTGGGCCGCTCAGGCGCGCCTCTCGCAACTCTTCGCTAACCAGGAGATAGGAAGAAGTCTCTTGCATCTCTTACCCCCGGAGCCTCGGAACCAAGGCCGTCCACGGAGCCGCGGGATGCACCCTGCACTTCTCTTCACTTCTCCACACTTCTCTACACCTCTCCGCACTTCTCTGCCGGAGCTCTTTTTGGCGCCGTCCCCCTTCATGTCTTCTCCCGTCCTGACCGGCCATGACGCTGAGGCTCTTCTTGGCCTCGGTCCGGTCCTTCGTTCACAAGCAGAACTTTCCCATCAGTGGCGAAAAATGCTTGCAAAGGCAGAGATAGGGGCAGGAGAGGGTCATGGGCCACAGATGGCCAACAGCAGATGCGCAGCCAAGGCTCCCAGAAGCTGAGCGTGTAGCTCTTCTTCTTGCTGAGAACAAGGCCATCCATCGAGCCATCGGGGCTCCACCTCAAACTGAGATCACTGAGAGTGGGATCACTGAAATCACTGAGATCACTGCTACTGGCAAGGTTGCTTCTGCCCTTTCTGTTGCTGAAACGCTCGGTGGCAGACAAGTGGGTGAGGCCAGTGACGCCTTGCACATCAACCACAGTCTCGACGCTCCAGCAGCCACTGCTCTTTGAGACGCGACAGATGGCTCTGGAGTGCCTGACCCGAGAGGGAAAGCTGGGAGAGAGACAGATGCGGCCCTTCTCTCGCTCTCATTTCTCCTCTGTCGGAATGCTGCTGTCTTTGCTCTCTTCTGCTCTCTGCTCTCTTCCAGCCGAGGGGCGCTAGCCAGGCGGCCAGCGGCTGGCAAGAGTCACGTGCCAGAGCGGACTCCTTGGGACAACTCTCTTTAGAGGAAAGGATCACTCCAACACGTCAACACACTCAATCATGCATCAAGACAAACTCTCTTGTCGATCTTTAACCATCGGCGATTCATCGTGCCATACAGCGACCATCCTAACGTCTCTGTCCTGCATCTGTTGCTGCTGGCGACCGAGCGGAATAGTCACGGACTCCACTGAACCTGCAGAGTGTCGGCACTTGCCAAAGCCCAGCATGACCGCGTGTGGCATGGGCCTTCTTCCATAACACGGACAGTTCCCGGATGGCCGTCCTCGCATTTACACAACAGGCTGTTCACTTCACCTCAACCAGCCGATGGCAAGGATGCAATGAACTCAGAAGACCGAAGACCTTCCCATGTTCCGACCTCCGTGATGATGACAGCCTCGCCCAGCGAGATCAGCGCACGTGGAGACGAGAAGCTGGCTGAAGCCGCTCGGCCGTCGGTCTGGCCTGGGACGCTGGGATTGACTCGATGCGCTCCAAAAAAACACCAAGGTGTGTGTCCCGATCCCAGCGACCTTTCTTCCCAGAGCCAGCCACAACTTGCACCTCCCAGGTCTTGCAAGATATTCGTCCTGAGAAGTACGGTTCCGGTCAATGCACGTAAGAGAGAGCAGTGCAAGTGCCCTGCATGCCGCAATGAATGGAATCAGCGAGGTGCGGATGCGGTGGTTGGAGACATCAGCTACGAGGAAGCTTCCGTCATCACCTCAGCTTAAACCGAAGAAACATGCAACAGCCATGCTCGAGCGCGATCGGCGCAGGTTCTTGCAAAACGTTCAGCACGAACTACGCGTGCACTTGCGATCATTCCGAGGTGCATCCACAAAGTCCCACTGCAAGCTCACCTCAGCTTTCAGCAAAGGCCAAACATTCCGGGCCCGAAAGAAAACTCCACGATGGAAGAAGATTTCACTGAGGTGCAACAAGGATTGCTGCCCGTCCCTTCCTACATTCCCCCCCTTCATCACCCAGTCCCTGCATGCTGAGATGCCAAAGAGAGCGGTCTTCACGGCACCGTCGGCGCAGCCCACGCCTGAATCCTGGTCAGGTTCAGCAACTCCTCGCCCTTCATCTGGCACAGTCGACATGTGGCCTCACTCACCAGAGTAGTACACGTCGCCGGTCCACTGCAGTTCTCAAGAAGGTACAGGGAGCCTCCCAGGCTCCGCGCTTTCTCGCCACCCAAGTACATGCCTAAAGCATAGGCCCCTATGCTATGGGCGGCATGAGCCCTAAACACATGCAAAGGGCAAGAACCTTCGCATTGAATGTTTCGGGAAACAGTACGAGCGACACGGACTAGATGGGGGGGGGGTGAGTAAGGCTTACTGATCAACCTGGGCCTCGTGAGCTCCAGCAAAAGTCAACATTCACCGTTGCAGGCTTTCACATGATATCGATTTGCACACATTGGCGAGATTGCGTGCTTGCCAAGTCAGTCTAGGCGGAGACTAAGAGAACAACATCCGGCCTTTTTTGGACTGCGTATTTGAAGAAGAAACCAAGAGCACGTCGCCTGATCTCCTGTGCTTGTTCAAGGGTTTGTCAGACAGGTCGCGATTGCGGGCACCAAATATTCTGTGCGGCCAAGCTTCGCTATGTCTTGAACCTCTCCGGAAATGTCTGCAGCCAGCTTCAACGTTGACACGGAGGCAACTGTTGCTGAAGTGGAAGGCATCTGCGGGCAGCGGGGCAAGATCTCTCCACTGCATGGTTTTGCACCGGGCTCTAGCAATTCTACCTCTCACTCTCTCCGAAGCGGTTGCCTCCTTCAAGGCTTGATGGACTCTGCGTGAGGCTGCCACTCGCTCCTGCCATCACATGCAGCGCCAGCGTCGTGAAGAGCAGGAGGATGCCCACAGGGTTTAGGGTTTAGGGTGTAGGGTTTAGGGGTTAAGGTTTAGGGTTGAGGGTTTAGGGTTTAGGGTTTGGGGTTTAAGGTTTAGGGTTTAGGGTTTAGGGTTTAGGGTTTAGGGTTTAGGGTTTAGGGTTTAGGGTTTAGGGCTCAAAGAAAGAGCGCTCTGACACGGCCTTCTGCTTCACGTCTTCTTCCGTAACCCACTTGATCGCCTCGGCGGCCTCACCCCGCCACTCCTGACTACAAGCTAGAATGCCAAAAAGGGCGCTTGGCAATGCTTCGGGTTTCAGGGTTCAGAGTTCAGGGTTCAGGGTTTCGGGTGTCGGGTTTAGGGTGCACTCTTCAGGGCCTTTCGCTGTCATCACTCTATTACAATGATGCAAGCACCAGCGTGGGGGATCTGTTTCAGCAGCATTCTAGATATCTCGAGATGTCTAAGACCATGCTCCACAACCCAGCCATAGATCACGCCCCTGTAAACCGCAAAAAAGCACCACCCCAGAATCCCTAAATACTTTCAAGAACTCATCATGTAGGAGATTCCGAGATTAGGGATACCTTGTTGGAGTACTTTTTTTAAGGGATCCTACTTGGGGTCTAGATTAGGGGTCCTTTATTTTCGTAAACCCTCATGTGGTGTCCGCCCCGTGGGGTCGAGAGCTCGCGCCCACGCCTCAATCTTCGGAGCCACCTCCTCCAGGGCTGCCTCCGCTTGCTGCAAGGACGCCTTCCAGAACAGAGGTGGGACTTTTTCTCTTTTTTTTGGGGGGGGGCAGGGGGTTTACAGAGGCCATAGAGCTCATTTGCATGTGGCAGTGTTTTTAAGGATGTTGTGTATAAGAGGATTTGGGGGGGAAGAGATAGGGGGGGGGGGTGGGAATTTCTTGGGTAAGAGCGGTTTTTTCGCGTATGGAGGGTTCCCAACTTGGCTCAGCGAAGCCTTGGAGACCACCTCGCTCTGGAGAAGCGCCAGCTCCTGGACCAGTCGCAAGGTCTCGGCGACGGTGTTGGACAGCTCCTCACCATGGACGGCAAGTCCCCCAGCAGTCTCACGAAGCTCTCGGACAGCATCGGCCCAGTTCGCTTGTAGCACCGTCGCGGCTCGCACCAAAACCGGCGGGCCCTTCTGAATGGGCTTCGGCTGAGGAGCGGCGGACACCAGAACGACGTCCCCTTTTTTAGAGGCGCCCAGGGATGGCCACGTACATGGCCGAAGACTTTCGTGGAAGCGCGGTATGAGCTTCACCAGGAGATGGCCCCGATAGCAGGGCCAAGAAGTCCGGGACTCCGATGCCGCCACCGTCGCCACAAAGCCAGTGATCTGCTCCAAGAGCCCCAGACGCTCCACGGGGCTCATCGGCAGCCCGGTCAGCCACCTCAGAGAACTTCGCTTATTGGAGTTGCGGACTCTTCTTCCTCTTCGTGCGCTCGTGTCACAGTACTAACGCTCGAAGTGACGAGTTCTTGAACTGGATTTTGCGTTGGCATGCGTGCGTGGACACGGTTTTCGCTGAATTGTTTTCGGCGCAGTTCTTTCACCAGACATTGCAAAATCAGCCGAGATCTTGCACTTTGCAGACCTCCTACAGGGCATCTCATTTTGTTCCTCGTTGCTGGCGCACCAGACATGGAACACAAAACTGCGAAGGGGTCTCAACAAAAAGCCACGACATGATGTCAGAGGCCGTGCCTGTAGTTTCCTGACAGGCTTCCGGTGGAGGGCGCGAGCTAGAAGGCGAAGAACAACATCTTTTAAGCATCCTTCTGTCCGCAAAGTTGCACCATCTGGGGGTCTGCGGGGGCGACATCCGATGTTCTTTCTCGTGTCACTTCAGCATGTCTGGTCTGCAGCTGTCACAAAAACGGGTGTGTTTCTATTCGCCGAAAGTGCTTTGCATACAAACTGTCAGCATCTCTCAGTCGGCCTTGCATGCAAACCGGTGGGAACGCACCCTAGGTTGCCCTTCGTATCTTTGTGTCAAGCTGTGCTGAGCACCCAGCCAGCTCTGCAAGCCTTTGGCAAAAGCAAGGAGCTTGGCCGGTTCTTGTGCCGGACCTTCTCGCGCCTGGCAGATGCCACAGTGCATCAATGCACGCACCGATGCATCGGAGTCCTACGAAAGCAGCTACAACAGCATATCTTGTGTGCTTCATGGAAAGAGGCAAAGTCTCAATGCCGCACCTCATCGGGCTTCTTGTCTGTGACAGGTGGGATGGCCGGATGTCTGTCCTCCAACGCGACATGCACAGCGCAGGAGATTAGATGACCCTCCGTATGCGTCGCGGCCGTGAATCGCCACATGTGCCAAAACACTCTTTCAAAAAGCCCCCCCCCCCGGCCAGAAGCGACTCGAGGAGCTCCCAGCAGAAGCCCGGCACTTCGGAGATGGTCCCATCCCTGAGAAGCACCTGTCAGCAATGATCATTTGCTGGCACCACGTCACATCATGTGGCACCATCTGGCACCCACCACATCCCACCATAGCACATCCACATCCACAGCTACAGACCCGCAGGCTCGAGCCCACACAATCCGTGCCTGGCCCAAGCAGGCGGCAGAAGCCAGGACATGGTCCAGGCCTCCATCCTCACAGTCGGAACGACGGCACATGACGGCACATCCTACATTGACAAATGATGTTGCCACACATTTCGGGAGGCTCCTTGAGGCGTTCCAAGGCAGCCACCAGTGCCTGCACAAGTATGCACGAAGAAGTACACGAGGCATCAGGTACTACAACAAAACTCAACAAGTGCAGCCGCAACGTAGCCTCCACCAGCATGCCCGCAGAATGGAGTGGCAGCAGTTGTTCGGTGAAGACTGAAAGCAACGAAAAATGCAAATAGCAGGCCTCAGGTCGGGCCACTTCAGTGAAAAGCATCTTCCTGCTCTGCAGTCCATCAAAGTACTGCGCGAATGTACGAGAAAGCGTCAGAAAGCATCGTTCTCAGTTGTCAGGCACGGGCAGGACTAAATGAGGATTTGTCTGAAATGCAGGTCAGTGGCAGCATAGATGGAGCGCCTCAGCAGAGCAAATCTCCAGGTCAATCGGCACCTGTTTCGGCCGAGTGGCTCAATCCACTCCTCAAGCACGGCTGCAGCTGCCTGCTGGTACCTCGCCGTGGAAGCAACATCGCATGATAACCCGGCCGGAGCACCATGCCATTGCGGATACAAGCAAAATCTGTCAAGATACAGCTCCAGCATGGCCGACCCCTTGGCTGAGTGCACAGTTAAATCTAATGTGGGCCAAGACTTTTTTTACATCGCGCCCTGTGGAGCAGTGGTCTTGTTCCAACCTTTGAGGCCCCCCTTGTCGCATTGCAGCTCTCCACAGGACTGTGGTAGCTCTTGCACAGCTGCTGGCTAGTAGCGGCAAGTACCAACGCCCTCATGCAACTTTGCGAAAAACCTGAAATGCTTTCAAGTCTAGCCAACCTTACAGCTGAATCATGGGTTGTCATGGAAATGGCATAATGCTATGCTGTCAAGCAGCTGATCGCATTGCCAATAGGATCGTAACACTTGAACTCCACGGAAAAGCCTCGCAGTCCAACTTCTTCGCACACACACACACACACACCAATTCAAGGAAGCAAAGAACCTGGCAAAAACTCTCAAGATAGAAAACTTCGTCATAGGCTGTCATTGCTCCGCCTGCGTCTGAAACTCGGGAGTTTCCCTCGAAGCCTCCAACGAGAGGTCAAGGGCTGTCTGCTCACCTCAGCACTTCAGAAGTCATCAGCATCATTGGAACCACGTTTTCACAGTTGATCAACATCTGCCGGTTTACAGCATGCCGAACTTGCAAACGCGTGGCCGGTCAACGTCTGCAGGCCCTGAGCCAGACACAAAAAGAACTTCGCGACATCTTCTCCAACTCCCCAAAACTTCCCAAAACCCCTTCAAAACAAGTTTGTGAAACTGTCTTCCAAAAAGTGCCGCACAAACTTCACATGGTGTCCCTTGCGGTCCTCCAAGTCCCGCAGGGACACTTCCCCAAGCAGCGCGGAGCCGCGGCACCGCAGCGTGGCTCCAGGAAGTGTCCAGCGTTCTTTCCAGGGCGCGGGAACGCCCTTCACCTCAAAGCGTAGTGCAGCTGCAGATGATGTGCACATCCGCTGGGAGCGCTGTATCACGCCCGCTAGTGTAAAAATTAGCTGGCTTCAGGTGCGCGCATGGGGACCGCGCCTTGGCCGCCACAGCACCCACGCGCCTGACCAAGGATCGTGTAGGCTATTCAACGGCTGTTCACGATGAATCAGAACAGCATCATTTGAGTCACCAGTTTGGGGAGCGCTGCTTGCCTGAGGCCCGGCATGGTTGCCGAAGGCCCCATTTCAGACCGCAGGCGAACAAGCCGCGGTGGCGCGCCTTACTTGATCGCTGGCATTAATTTCAAAACCATACTCCTTTGCTGCCTTTGCTTTCAAGATCCGTCACATGTCCTCAAATATGTCGGTTTTGTGTGCTCTTCCACAGTTTTTGGCCCAGCAGCCCGGACTCTTTGGGGCAGCTGCAGAGCTCGTGCGCTGTAAGGAGGGGGGCCCTGCCCGAGGTGGCACCATGCCAGGGGCGTGCTGCTTGGAAATCAGCAGGCCCAACTCGGCCTCCACCTGCCAAGAACAATCAAGGGTTTAGGGTTTAGGGTTTAGGGTTTAGGGTTTAGGGTTTAGGGTTTAGGGTTTAGGGTTTAGGGTTTAGGGATATGTGTGCCAGGAACGCCTTCTCCGGTAAGGTGTCTTTGGCATCGAGCAGGGCCAGCACAATCAAATATCCATGCAGCTCTTCTGGTTCGGCCAGATGTCCTCCACCAGCCTGAAGTCAGGTTTTGTTCATCAACCAGGTTTGGTGTCGCTAGGATACATAGGACATTCTGCCAAGGGCTGTTGCAATTTTTAGACTCGAAAACCAGGCAAGACCCTCAGGAACCAAGCCACCTGCGGTTTCTGAAATTCTTGATGAAACGCCCACGCCACGGAGCATGTGCTCCCCATTGCCACAGCAGGAACCGCACACCTACTGAAAGTATTCCAGTACACATTTTGCTGAAAGGAGTGGTTTTGAGTGACTGGGCGTATGGTGGTTGTTGGTGGTTTTGTTTGCTTCCGGCGATGCCCTATCAAGCGACCATGGCAGCTATGAAAAGCATGCAACAGAATAGAAGCGCTGCTAAAACAGCTTTGCATATACAATCTCACTTGCAGCTGCTTCCATCTAGAGATCAACTGCCTCGTGTTACGAAGCCCTGGTGAGCTAAAGCTGCGGTGGGTAGTTGAGGAGCCAAATATGTTGAGAAATTTGGCGTGGTTGATTCGACAACCGCCAGAAGAAAAAAACAAAATCAAAAAATACTGAAAAGTACCTTTTTGCCTACCTCAGCAATGTGTCACAAACTGCAACTGTGAAACTGCAACTGTGGTGACAGTCATAACAACCCCACCCGACCAGCAAAAGTGAGGGTCCCTGAAGAGGACTTGCACGGTAAGGTCTTATCGAGGAATGTTCGGCCCGCCAAAAACCGAAGCCCCATCTTCAAACATGTTCGTTCCGCAACCCCGCAACCTTACTTAGCACTGCATTATAGAGCCTGTGAAACGCACTTTGTTCCAATGCAAAAAAACCTTGCCCCATTTCATGCGCAACACATGGCGGCCGGACGCCGCACTTGGAGCGGACTCACAGGGAATCACGGGGGTTGCCAAAATGAAAGAAGCTTCGAAGGCGACACAGCACACAGCGTTTTCACTGGACACAAGAGCCGCTGGAGTTGCACAAGCCCGCGCAAAAAGTGTGCATCCATGTCTTTCATGCGTTCAATGAACGCAAAGTCAGAGCAACTTTGAGCCTAAGGAGGGGATGCTGTACATGTAGCTTTATTGAATGAAGTCTCATTTCATACGGTGGATGGAAAGCAACCTTGCACCGCCTACCGAGCACTCATCGTTTCGTATCGCCTTACACAAACCGCCTAACATGTTCTTAACGTGGCCTAACCTGTTGAGAAAAAATACGCGGACGGGAACAGCTAATTCAGCGCAGTGTTCTGCCCAACGCAGCCGTCGGCGTCCTGGCCTCAAGCCTGCGCCTATCTCCCCCTAGAGTAAAAGCTGTGCGTGAAACAACAGTTCTATGGTCAGTGCTCTCTGCGTGCGTGCCCGAAGTTAGAGCTCGCCTGCATAGATGTGGCATGCGGGAGGCAGTTGTTCAACCAGTGTTCCGACCGCATTGTGGCGTCGTGGGCTTGTCCGAGTCTGCGATCTCATAAGTGGCCGCTGTGCCTGAATGTTGCACAGCGCTTCGGAGTGGAACGCTTCCAGCCTGCGCCGCTGTTCCAGTTCATAGATAGCACGGGC